CGGAACCATGTGGTTCCAGTGGGTGAAAAAGTACAGTCAGGCAGGTAAACATGACTTCAACGTGGAGTGGGAAGTGCTAAAATACAAGTAAGGCAGGGTGCTGCGGGAGCCCCAAGGAGAGGCTCTGGAGTCAGATGAATGGGGAGGCAGCAGGCATGTGAGCCAGGGGTGGTAGGGAGAAGGAAGAGAGGGACAAGCCCAGATATACTGAGAAGAAACAGGCTTTGGTCACCAGTGGGCACAGGGGTGAAGAAGAAGGTACCTTGACTCTGGATGGGCAGCCATTCCCTGAGGTGGGGACACCCCAGGTGGAGCAGGACCAGGGGAAGGGAATGGGTTCCATGTGCGCTGCAGTGCCTCTGGGGTATGTGTGGAGGCTCCAGGGGAGTGTCCCGTAAACAGTCAGAAGAACCAGTCTGGAGTTGACTTGAAGACCCAGGTTAGGGAAACGCTGGGATGTGCAGGTGGCTGCTGCATCTGTGGGCATGTTGACTGTCCCAGGCAATGTGTTCAAGGGGAAGAGTACCCCAGAGTCAGTCAACACTGGAGGCAGAGGAGGGAAGCTAGTCTAGCCATCTCGGGAGGGAAAACAGACAGCTGGAGAATGGCAGTATGGCAGGCAACCCACAGTTATTCCAGCATGAGGGTGATGATGCCTCGAGGTGTCAAAGCAACATTAACTGAAAAGTGCCATAAGAGTTGGTGATAGGGAGATCACTGACATGCAGAGGCATAACTCTGATGCCTGGAAGAACCTAGATTTGTGAAGAAGGGGATGAAGGGGCAGGATGCCTCAAAAAGAAGGTGGTGAGTGAGCCACACTGTACAGGTAGGTGGCAGCTCTGCAGGAGAAGGGGATAGGGCAACAGGTGCAGGACAGAGCTCTTGGGTCCTGGTAAGAGGACCTGGACCACAACAGGTACCAGGGCAGAGCAGGGGACAAATGACAGTCTGCCAGTGTGCATGCCACTTGCAGGAAGCTATGCTTCATCCTGAAAGCACAGGGGAGCCAGGAGAGTATTTTAAGCAGGGTAATGACATGGTTGAAGTTGTGTTTTAGAAAAATCCCTAGGCAGCATCAAAGAGGATAGATTGGAGAGGGAGAGACAGGATACAAAAGACCCACTGGGAAATTTGTGGCAATTAAGTCCATGATGTTCCTGATTTTTCTGTGTCTTCAGTCTTTTTCTCACCAGCGATCACTTTCTTCTTAGAGAACAAGGGTGGCCTGACCCTTTCTGCTGTCAAGTACTATATACAAGCAACTTAAGTCCAGAGATGGAGGACTTGGGGGTGATCCTCAGTGAGGAGGCTGTGGGCTCTGAAGCAGGAGGAGTACCCAGGAGTTCACTGAGCCCAAAGAACTGCATTCTCTGGCCCTTGGTCAGTTTGGGAGGCTGACTATCCTCCTTTCAAACACGTCTCCTGTGGCTCTTCTCCTTTAAACACTAAGGTCTTGCATACACATCACAGAAACCGTTTTCTCTTCCTCCACTTGGCCTGTAAATCAATAACTGACCTAATGCAATAAAATAAATCAAATGCACTTCTGGCTTTCTCAGTTTCTTCTGAAACAAGGAAGCAATGACAGCTTTTCCTGGAAGTACTTGAATTAGCTCAACGGGTTCTGGGGGCTTCAATGCAGGGACACTTCACCAGAGGGAGGGCATAGGGGTCCCCAGAAGGCTTCAGGGGGTTTTTGAGTCAGTGCCCATTCCCTAACCCCAATTTCAAGGGAAACTACATATTTTTTGAGTTTTGTAAAAGTGCTCCCTCATCCCCAAATCCATGAAGAAACACTGATACATTTAAATAATGACTATCGTTGTTTAAGGTTATTAGACAAACTGATCACTTTGTTGGTCAGAAAGACCCTGCAGGATAATGTGTGGCTTTGTTAGCTGATTAGCTAACTTTGAAAGCAGTGGTTGTGTTTGGTTTGTTTTAAAAAGGGCGTGCAGCATTGATATTTCGATTACAAAATGTCTAAAATGCCTTTCTCACCTCTCTGTTTTCTTCCTGAATCCTATCATTTTTTTACCTTCCAACACTGTAAGTCTCTGGTGTAAATACTTCTCACATACTGCCATGTCATCTAGGATACAAGAAAAGATTCCTGCTCTTCATGCATTGCGAGTGAAAACAAAGGACATACACATGTTATTTTTGCCTGGAGGAGTCCGGAGGTCAGCAGGGGCTGGCATGTGCTGCTGATCAGAGTGAGATGCAGTGGATAAGGCACCTAGCAGAGGAGCTGGCACACAGAAGGTGCTCAATAAATGGGGGCTCTTCCTTCCTGTCAGTGAGTTGGTGGAAGGGGTGGGCAGTGGGGCTTCCTGGGGTACACAGTGTCAGGATCCCTCTAGGAGGACTGCAGGCTCTGTGGCCTGTGACCACTCCTGAGAGCAGTGTTTTATGGAGACTGGAGCATAATGGAGCAATTACAGAACTAAACACCCTAAACTGGAACCAGGCCCCAAAGAAAAGATGTCTCCAAGTTATTTTCTAAATTGCCCACCAAGGTCTGTATGAGTCAACAGTAGCTATTGACATTAATTTCAGCTACCATCAAGACTTATTGATCTGAGAGATAAATATTGACCAAATTGAGACTAAGGTCAATACCGGCCTCCTGGGAAAATAAATCTTAATATTAACCAAAACTTGCAGACGCTAGGCCTGATACTTTTGCCTCTAAACTGCTGGTCAAACAGAGGCCCATTCAAAGTCAACTCTTTTCCTTATTGTGTATTCTTATAGGTATAAACTGCTTTCAAATCTATTCATTTCTAGAAAATTTAGAATTGAAAATTTTTAGTCTTTTCATATCTTAAATAATCAAAGGACAATGTGGTATTTAAGAACTGTTACTGGGTGTATGCCCATAAAACAAAGAATCCTTTTGAAATGCATACAGTTGCCCAACTTACTTTCTACAAAAATTAAGAATTTTCTATGTTGAATCTCCATCCAGAGGAGCACAGTAGCTCAAATAAACACACAAAAAGGTCTACAACAAAAAGTTGTGATTAGGACCAGTGTTACTTTTGAAAATGCCATCAAATTCAATCTGTTTATCAGTGGCCCCAAACTTCCTAAAGCAGCATTTTGTACCCAACAGGTGTACAACTGAGTTTTGTTTAACGGACAAATAAAAGGTGGAGCCCACCATGCTGTGAATTAGAGAAAGTTGTCCATTTAAGAGCAGTGGGACTGCAAAGGGGCTGCCCACAGGGCCAGACCTACTGTCTAGATGGGAGACAGAACACTACCCCGTGGGTTGTAGGAACTCACTTTTCTTAAACAGAGTGTGTGTCCTCACATGCAAAACTGGGAACAGGACAGGGGAAACTTATTGACTTATTGTGGGAATTAAACATGGTAACAGGCAAAACACAATTTTTTTAAATATATAGGTCCATAGAACTTCAGTAAACAACTGTTTCTGTTATTGCCAGGGTTAAGAGACTGGATTAGAAACAGCAGGTCCTGAGCAGCTTAGAGAGAACATGAGGTGGGCAAATTTACAAGGCATAGTCCCTCTTCAAGTTGTTGATAAACATCAGAATTAAGAAAAGATCTGAAAAAGATATACATATACACAGTGATGTACACAGTTGAGAGAAGAGAGTGAAGAAAGTTGATAGTTTAAGCTTTTGTACTCTATAGAGTTTCCAACGGCCCATAGAATGACCAGAGAGCTATTAAAATTAGCAAAAACTCCACAGCTACATTTGAGGACAAGACAGGGGTAGTCAACAGAGCAGAACTGATGAGGGATTTTTGATGACATGAAGCAGATGGAATCACACTGTGAAAGCCCGTCAGAAACCACGATTCACCACAGTCAGAAGGCGGCTCCCTTTGGAAATCAGGTGAACGAGCCTCTCCAGCAGAAAAGAAGGAAAGCTGGCAGCAGAGCAGCAGGGTGCGGGCAGGGCTGAGCCACGACAGGACATCAGAACCAGGCACAGCTTGCAGCCAGACCATGGCTCCACTTAGAGGAAAGGCATCAAATGAGCTTATGTGTGGGATTCAGAGGACCCTGAATTCAGAGTTCAAGTCCTGACTGCAAGTTATAAGCTGCATGACCCTGTGAGTCACCCATCTCTCACCTTCCTGAGTCTCACTGCACTCAAGCATTAAGTGGAAGGACAGAACCTACTCCACAGAGCTGGTGTGCAGAACCATTAACAAGCCTCCATCATGCTGCACACTGTCCCGGGCATGGAGAACATAGCAGTGCCCAGGGCAGACAAGCTCCCTGCCCTCACAGAGCCTGCATTCTGGTCAAAGGGAGGGGAAGTTAACAAATATCAAGTATGTCTGGGTGCATCTCATAGGGAGTGCCATCAGAGTGTGAGCAGTGTTTTATATAGGATTTCAGGAAGGTTTCTCCATTGGGGTGACATCTGAATAGAGACCTTAGCGGGTGAGTGGTAAGTCACAGGCATATCCTGGGGAGGACTTTCCAGGCAGAGCAGACAGCTGGTGCAAAGGCCCCACCAGAACATGCGGGGTATGTTTAAGGACTAGTGAGGAGCCCAGTGTGGCCAGAGGGGAACAAGCAAGGTGGAAAAATGATGGCAAAGAGGCAATGGGGACCAGATCATAGAGGGCTATGCTGCTACTAAGGTAGCTACTAAGCAAATGTGACTATAAGCACTTGAAATACCGTTCTGAGATGAGATATCCAATAGGTATAAAATCTACTGGATTGTGAAGTCTTAGTAGAACAAAAAGCATGTAAAATATTTTATCAATATTTTTATACAAATCATAGGCTTAAATCATAATATTTTTGATATACTGAGTTAAATAAATCATATTATTAACATTGGCTTCACCTGTTTCTTTTTACTTCTTTAATGAGGCTACTAGAAAATTTAAATTACATGTGTGGTTTGCATGATATGTAACATTACAGGCCATAGTAAGGAGTTTGGTATTTACTTTGAGCAATGTGGGAAATAAACAGAAATGCACAAAAAGATGCTTACCATATTTCCCAGGATGGAGTGGAAAAGGTTCACAAAACTAGAATTCCATTCACAGACAAACTGCTCAAATGTAAAGACAAACAAAGATTTGGGAGGAAGACACTGAATTCAAGAAAGAGTAATAATTATTTATAATGTAGTGAAGTTTAATGCAACTGGTCAGTAATGATTAATGCAACAGTAAGTAAAATAAATTAAAAGGAATGTGACAAGCAGATAACATAGGATACATTCCTAAACAGAGAAAAACAGGCAAAAAGAAACCATACAAAGTACTTCATTTTAGCCATCCTGGTACATGTGAACTGGTTTTATGCTTTTAACTTCCATTTCCATGATGCCAATAAGATTAAATACTTTTCTTGAGCTTCCTGGCTGTTTATTTATCTTCTTTTGTAAAGTACAAATTTAAGACTGCCAATTTTTTTGGTAGGGTTGTCTTTTTCATATTGATTTGTAGATGTTTGTATGTTCTAGATAAGAATCCTTTGTCAGATATATGCATGACAGATATGTTCTCCCAATCTGTGGTTTGCCTTTTCATTTACTTATTGGTATTCTGATCAGAAGAGACATTTGAATTTTAAGGTAATCCAAATTTTTCAATCTTTTCCTTTATGGTCGGTACTTTATATGTTTTGTTTAAAAAAATCTTTGCTTACCCTGAAGTTAGGAGGCAAGCTAACTTTAAGGAGCTTTATTTTTACTTTTCATATTTAAGATCCTTGTGTAATTTTTTGTATGCAGTGTGAAGCAGAGGGTATGGGTCATTATTTTTCACATGGATATGCAACAGACCCATCACCCTATATTGAAAAGATAATCCCTTCTTCACTGTAATGTCACTTCTATCATTAATCAAGTTGACAATATCTGTGTAGATCTGTTTGGAGCTCTTTATTCTGTTCCTTTGGTCTATCTTTGTGCTTGATACTATATTGTATTAATTACTGTCCCTTTAAGGTAAATCTTGAGAATGGGTACATAATTTCGTCACTTTGTTTTTTTCTTTCATGATGATCTTGGCCCTTTGTAATACATATACATTTTAGAATAGGTTTGCCAGTTTCTCTCCTTTCAAATCTCTCTCTCTCTCTCTCCCTCTCTCTCTCTCTCTCTCTCTCACACACACACACACACACAAATACTGACATGTAAAATCAGTGAATAAGAAAATGAGAGAAGGGGTCCAGCTCTTCCCTACAGAAGAATTTCAAGTAGCAAATGAGGAAGGATTGAGGTAAATAGAAAATCACCAGTAGTACACCACAGTGATAGCTGCTGCCAGCAAAATCCACTGATAAATTCTAAATTGTATGGGCAAAAGTTCAAGGCAAAAACAAGGCATTTGCATAGCTTGACATATCTCTCTTAAGATATTTATTAATTACTGTGGTGGTTAACATATGTCCACGAGCTCTCTGATACTCCTGCCTGCTAGAGATGGAGCTCAGCTCTCCTCCCGTTAAGTGTAAACTGGACCTGTGACTAGCTGCTAACAAATAGATGATGCAAAGGGAAAAATGGTAACTTTATACTGAAGCAGGCTGGCAAACACCACCTTAACCATGTGATAAAGTTGAACCTAGTCATTAATAAGATCTACCATTATGTACCCTGATATGACGCAATGAGACTCTGGGTGTTGTTCCTCTCCTAAATCCATAAACTCATTTCTACTCATCATTTTAGAACATTTTAGAATGTTTAAAATAACATTTTAGAATGTAAGGACATTCTAAAAAATAACTGGATGACACTCTTTGAAAGGCTCAAGGCCATGAAACAAAAATATTTTCAAAAAAGGAGGGACTCCCATCAGTTGGAGGGGACTAAGGAGACATAAGAACTAAATGCAATGCGATATCCTGGATTGGATAAGTGGAACAACTGCTGAAATCTGGTCAAAGTCAGGACTGCAGTAAATGGTGATATACTAATGGCAATGTCTTACTTTTGACAAACACACCATGACTATGTAAGATGTTAACATTAGGAGAGTCTGAGAAAAGGGTAGATGGGAACTCTATACTATCTTTACAACCTTCTGTAAGTCTAAAGTCATTCCAAAATAAAAGGCTATGACACATTTTCTGGAAGGTTCTTCAGCAGTCTCTTTGGAGAGATTATCAGGCAAATTTTACAAGCAGGTATCCACATTCTATTTTATACATTCCTGAGTGTGGCATTTTTATTTGCCTTGAAAAAAAGCATTTATAATACAAACAGCTCCATTTGGATTTTTTAAAGACATGTGGGAATTAAGAATGGAGCACAGCTGGTTCAAAAGTTGACCCAAGAAGAGAGGATGCTGTTGCTTGGGGACAAAAGAACCAAGGACTTTCAGCATGTTTTGAGCCAATAAAGGTACAGGTTGGCCCATGAAGTATGTTGAAGGCTTGCGGGGAACAACACCCCAATATAGAACATGGTTACTCACCAGGGCGACTTTCCTTTGCGGTTTCAGCAGCTTCGGTTTATGGAAAGTGGCGGCTATGGGAGCTGTGGATGTACATCGAGAATTCAGTTTGCAACTGCTCCCAGGATTCTTAATGCCCACAGATCCTGAGCACTGTGGACACACTCTGTGGAGATTCTTGGACCCTTCCCTTGCCCCATGGAAGAACTCCAGTTTCTGATCTAGGTACTCTTGAGTTCCTGCTGACGGGGCAGCAATCCTCCCCTAAATTTTGGACGTGTCATACTCTCTCCTCAGCAAGGGGAACAAAATAGCTCTACATAAAACACTGCCAACTACAAAGAGGTCAAGTGTGCAGGTGAGCACCAGGTGCAGTTGGTAAAGGCTGAGGCTGGGACCTTCCCTGGGCTTCATCCTAATTGCACACTATTACAGACAGCAGTGACCCTTGACCCCCTCAGAAGCCTGGGGAGATCATCAGGGAGGGTCATATTGATTCATTAAATAGGGGGGGGAAACTTAGGCTCTTCTCAAATGTCATAGAAGTGGTATTTAGATGATTTGGGACTTGAACTTGGCTTTGAAAGTCAGGCAGACCTCACTTCAAAGCCAGGCACTACTCCTTAGCTCTGAGTCTCATTTTCATCTTTTATAACGTAGGGTACTATCTAGTCTGAATGAGACAATACAGCAGGATGCTGCCTGGTCCAGAGCAGGGGTTCTCTGCCCACCTTCCCTCCCAAGGCCTACACCTGTCATGCCTCCCAGAATGTCCATGCCTTCCACCCACTCTGTCCACCCGACATATGTTCAGCCTGTGCACCACTGTTCTTCATCACAGGGCTCTAAGGGTCCCCAGGGGAGAGCCTATAAATCCCCCATTGAGGGACAAAATATATCTTGTCTTGTTATTAAAACATTCACCTGGGCAATCATAGTACTTCCAACTATATTTCAAATTCCTTAAGTTTGAACTTCTCTTAATTTAGCCACAGTCCTTCAAGGAACTATCTATAGATGGTCCTAGTTCTCCTTAGACGTGTACAGTTCTTTCCTCCAGAAACACCCTTCTTCCTCACTTGTATAGCTCTAAGTCACAGCAGGAATCAAAGAATAACTCTCATTTTATCCTCAGAACAAATCCCAAATAAATTACATACATGTTTTACAACTTTAGAAAATTCAGAGAGCCCTCTTTCCCTTGAATGAACCAAGAAGATGCTGACACCCCCTTCCCCACTCTGCTATGTGAACAGTTCAAAGTGAAATACACTGTGGGATCAGTCTGTGGATACTGAGCCCAGCTTACCTGCTAAAGCCATGCTGGGCCAATGGCACGACCTCTAGCCCCAGCCCAGGGATGGGGCTCACTCTGACCAGAATCTAAGAGGGGTCCTCCAGATCCTATAATCACTGGATATCATGTCCTCCATCTGCCTCCTCCTCCTGTCCTAACCCCACATCAAAGCCCGGACCCACCTCTGGGTCAGTCATGGTGGTGTCCATGTAAGTAATTGCAGGCTAGCCCCCTACCTTTGGCAGGGACTGCAGGAGGAACGTCAGCCTTCTCCTTCCGCCTCTTGCCCTTCTTGGGCTGCAATGGGGCCAAGCTGGTCACGCTGGTGACGGTCTCCCCTGAGCTACAGAACAAAAAAGTCCTGATGAAGGCAAAGGGAGATTTGGAAAAGGAAAGGAAGCAATAATTTCCAAGTGTTTCCTGTGTACCTGCATAAGGTAAGGTTATCTTATAGCTGGACAGGGATTGCTTTATCCTTATCTCCAGGGATGTCTGGAGGTCTGGTACTGACCCTCCGCTAAGATAAGGACAATGAGATGAGCTAGTTAGTGATTTATAATGAGCTGTTTATAGTTCAAAAAATCTCTGTGAAGACCTAGGGCCAATTTGTTGGCATTGTTTATGGGTGTATAGCTTGATGGTTTACACCTAGTGTCATCAGTTACACAGTCTGGCTTGGCTATGACACCAGAAGGCTATCAAGATACCATTGGAAACTTCAGCTTGAGCTCTCCTAAAACCAAGATTCCTTGCACATATCTTTGTGGTTCACAGTCCAAAAACAGAGCACCTCCTGTGCAGGCAAGAGGACCCTGGAGCACAGTATCTGGATGTCACTAGGTACCCCAGGATTACTCACATGTTCTCCTGCTCTGCCTTCACCTTTAGTAAAGGGTAACTGAGCTCACCCTGAGCAGTGCTGTGAGCCTTCTCAGTGTTCTGGTCCCATGTGGTCACTGAGGTATCGCGTTCTTTCTGTGGGTTAGCTATGATAACTCAAAGTGATGTTACTGATACAACTTACATTACAGGGCAGCAAGCCAAGACTTAGAGATGCTCAGTAACTTGCTCTAAGTGACACTGTTAATAAGCAGTGAACACAAAAGTTGCAAACAGAGGCTGTCCTGACAAGGATGCTGTTCTCGATGCTACCTGTGGGATGGAGTCCATACACTTTCTTGATTGGCCATTGACTCTAATTTAAATGCATCCCACCAGCTCCAGCAATCCAGAGTAAGCACCTCTTAGAATCTCATCTTCAGGCAATGTTCCAGCCAGGAAGGTACAGTTAACAAAAGGGACTATCACCCTACTATACAAAGAATTTCTAGAAATCCATAATATGACCAACCGCCTAATAACCAATATGAATGAAGGTGATAAATAGTTTTCACTCCAGGGGAAAGGCTCTTCCCTGTGAAAATGGGCTAAAGCCCTTTATGAAAGGAAGCCAAGTTAAAAAAAAACCAGTGTGCTTCCTTCTTCCACATCAGAATGGCACTAATCAAATTCAAGGCAAAACAGTCTTTTGGCAGAGGTGTGGGGAATCGGGCACTCTGAAGTATTGCTGGCATGAGTATAAACCCTTCCTGATGGAGAAAAACTCGGCAGTCAGAATAACTGGGGCTATAATAATCATAGAGGCTATACTCTGACCTGGCAATTTCACTTCCAGGGATTTATTCTGTAGGTATCCTTGCATGTGCATGAAATATATGTATAAGATTAATCATTACACTGCTGTTGGTAATAGCAACAGATTAGAAAGAATCCAACTGTCCATCAGCAGCAGACTGATTAAGGAAATTAATGTGGCTCCACAAATCCACACATGGCTATAAAAAGGAGTGGAGAAGCTTTTTATGTACTGATAAGAAAAGATATATTGTTAAGTGAAAAAGTTCGGTATTGGATAATGTATAAAATGTGCCACTTTTTAATATACAAATAAAGGAAAATAAGAATATATATTAGTATTTGTGTATATATACATAAAGAAACTCTGAAAGTATTCATAATAATTTAAAATAGTGGGTCCTTGGAATTAGGGGTGCTGAGGAACTAAATAGATGGAAGACTGGACAGAGAATTATCACATAGATTTTTTAATTAATCACTTAACTTTTAAATTTTAATTATCAAACTACATGATTGTGTCTTTGAAAAACAGCAAATTAAACATGAATAAATACCTACATATATTTTTTAAAAAGAAAATAGACTAGTCTAACATAGTCCTAGAATTCTAAAAATAAACAAAGACTAAATCACACATCGTGGGAGATATTCCAAGAATAGCTCTCACTCAGATTCCCCCAGGATGGCTATTTTTTACTGGGAACAGAAACCCTAACTGGCCATAGCTTTAGAGTATAAGGTCAACAGTATAAACTCACAAATAGCCAAAAGGAATGTGTGTTTACAAAACTCTGACTGCTAAGAGAAAGCAAGGGATCAGAAACCCTCAGAATTGTTTAAACACGCAACCACATGTATAGCTTCATTTCACAGCTTTTTAGATTCTAGAAATGTTTTCTTCTTTACATTATAAATTAATGTATGTTCATGTTTTAAAATGGTCGTTACAGGCATAGAAACAAATGAAAATAAGTCTATCACAACCAAAACACAACCTTTTCATTTTCAGGCTTTTTACTCCTCCTTGTTTTATTCTTTAATAGACTTTACTTCTAGGAAAGTTTTAGAGTCACAGCAAAATTGAGCAAAAGGTACAGAGATTTTTCAGACACCACTACCTCCCCACATGCACAGCCTCCCCCATTATCCATACTCCCCACCAGGGTGATATATTTTCTATTAACTGATGAGACTGCATTGACACATCATTATCACCCAAAGTCCATGGTTTATGTTAGGGTTCACTTTTGGCCTTGTACATTCTATGAGTTTGGACAGATATATTATATATCCATCATCAGTATCTATAGTATCATACAGAATAGTTTAACAGCCATAAAAGTCCTCTGTCCTCCATCTGTTTGTCCCTCCCTCCCCCTAACCCATGGCAACCACTGATCTTTTAACTATCTCTATATTTTTGCCTTTCCAGAATGTCATGCAGTACACAGCCCTTTCAGATGAGCTTCTTTCACTTGGTAACATGCACTTAAGATTTCTCCATGGAGGAGGTGCTCAAGATGGTGGTGTGAGTAGGGTGGTGGAAATCTCCTTCCAAAACCACATACATTTTTGAAAGTACAACAAATACAACTATTCCTAAAAGAGAGACCAGAAGATACAGTACAACAGCCAGGCTGCATCTACATCTGCAAGAACTCAGCATCTCACAAAGAGGGTAAGATACAAAGCCATGATCCAGTGGGACCTGAGCACTCCCCCTACCCCAGCTCACTGGCAGGAGGAAAAGAATTAGAGTGGGGAGGGAGAGGAAGCACAGGACTGCTAAATAACGAGCCCAGTAATCTGCACCAGGAGCACAGACACACATCACATGATGTACTGGATATTAGAGAAACGGGAAAGTAAAATCCAAGACAGAGACTGTGAGTGGGTCCCCACAGCTGGCTCCCCTGGGACAAAAGAAAAGCGGGTGCTTTTTTAAAAGTCTTAAAGGGACAAGGGCTTAACAGATGGACAAAATCGTCCCGGCACACTCAACCCAGCAGACTGGGAATCCTAAGGAACTTCAGGTACCCTAACCCTAACCCCCTGGGTGGCAAGGCAGCTCTGAAGTCCCTCATGGTGATAAGCAGCCTGCCATTCATTCCCACTGGCCAGCACTGCAAGCAAACTGGCTGACCCGCCACTGCCGCAGACCAGCCAGGGAGCAGCCCTGCCCACAGCAACCACACAGAGTCATCTCCCAGTGTGCAGCTAACTGGGACAGACCCAGAGGCTACTGCCAGCATGCAGCTTCCTGGCACAGGCAGAGGAAGCTGGCGCATGGTCCAGAAGGCACAAAGGGGCACCATTCTCGCAGGAGAATACACACAGCAGGTCTGCAACCCCTGCATTGCCCTGGGCTATCTCGAGGGCCACCCTGCACACAGCAGCTCAGGGTGTTAACCCAGTGACTGCTCCCTGTGTGCAGGTAACTGGCACAGGCAGTGGAGAAGGACAAAGTGACCATCAAGCAGGAAGGGACTTTGTTCTCCGAGCAGACACATGCGCCACTTGCCGGCAATCACTTCTATCACCATTAAAACGCAGAAGAATCTGGTCCAGTTAAAAATTACTCAAACAACCCCAGAGAGAGGGCCTGGCGAGATAGATACAACCAATCTTCCTGAAAAAGAATTCAAAATAAAAGTCATAACCATGCTAATGGACCTGCAGAGAAATATTCAAGAGCTAAGGGATGAAGTCCAGAGGGAGATAACAGAAATGAAACAATCAATAGAAGGGCTTAAGAGCAGACTGGATGAGGTGTAAGAGACTGTTAATGTAATAGAAATTAGAGAACAGGAATACAGAGAAGCTGAGGCAGAGAGAGATAAAAAGATCTCTACAAATGAAAGAATATTAAGAAACTATGTGACAAATCCAAATGGAATAATATTCACATCATAGGGGTACAAGAAGAAGAGAGAGAAAAGGGGATACAAAGTGTCTTTGAAGAAATAATTGCTGAAAACTTCCCCAAGCTGGGGAAGGAAATAGTCTCTAAGACCATGGAAGCCCACAGATCTCCCAACACAAGGGACCCAAGGAGGACAACACCAAGACATACAATAATCAAAATGGCACAGATCAAAGACAAGGACAGGGTTTTAAAGGCAGCCAGAGAGAGAAAAATGATCACCTACAAAGGAAAACCCATCAGACTATCATCAGACTTCAGAACAGAAACTTTACAGGCCAGAAGAGAATTGCATGGTATATTTAATGCAATGAAACAGAAGGGCCTTGGACCAAGAATACTGTATCCAGCATGATTATCACTTAAATTTGAAGGAGGGATTAAACAATTTCCAGATAAGCAAAAGTTGAGGGAGTTTGCCTCCCACAAACCACCTCTACAGGATATTTTAAAGGGACTATTCTAAATGGAAGTACTCCTAAGGCTAAATAGATGCCACCAGAGAAAATAAAATCACAGCAAAGAAAGCAGACCAACCAAATACTAACTAAAGGCAAAAAATAATATCAACTATCCACAAAAGCAGCCAAAGGAAACACAAAAGAGTACAGAATAAAACACCTAACATAGAAAGAGTGGAGGAGGAAGAATAAGAAGGGAGAGAAATAATCATCAGACTGTGTTTATAATAGCATAATAAGTGAGTTAAAATTAGATGGTTAGATAGTAACAAAGCTACCCTTGAACATTTAGTAACCATGAATCCAAAGCCTGCAATAGCA